TGTTTTCTAATGCCAAAATGGTTTCATGCAAGATATAATACAGGCATCAGAAATGGTAGTCAGAGGGAATACTGGAGACAAGATGTTGAACTATAAGTATTTTCTCCTGAGATGTTGGAAAGAGTCTACCTGGAAACACTGTTTTTAGTGATACTGTCTTTCAGTCCTACAGGGTGTCATAGATATTGTTAAATACCTACTCATCCAAAATAAGGGAGATTTCAGAAAAAGGGGAAATTTCAAAAAAAAACTCAAGCTGGAGGCAACAGCTCTGACTTGTGATAGACCAAAGAAAATAAACCAAACAAACAAACAAAAAGATGAGAATACAATACAAATGACTTCAAAAACATGTTTATTTTGACTTCTTTTAACAGTAGTTTTGTCTAAGCCCACATTATATGTGGGCCACACTATAAAGGCTGGAGTAACATTAAAAAAAAAAAAAAAAAAAAACATAGAACGGGTATTTTTTTCTAGTGTCATATACTAGTATTTCCACATCCACACTTTCAACTGAAAAGGTTCAGCTGAAAACATTCAGCCAGTACTTTGTACAGATATACTACAGATACACTTATCCTCACTGACGTTCTCAGACACACCATGCCTTGAGGCAGAAGAGTTTATCTGGGGACTCTGAAGCAGACTGACTTTGCTATACCCTGGTGGTTGAAGTCTATATCCTCCATACAGCACTTTGGTGACTCATCAAGGGCCAAAACCTCCCCAGGAGCCAGTTCTGGCTTTATGTTTGGCCAAAGAAAAAGAGAGAAAATGGTTTGGATCCATTCTCCTCTTCCCTCGTGCAACCACATGGAGTTAGATACAAAGTGGTTTGATTTCAGATTTTCTAAACACTTTGATTTTTTTGAAACTTCTTTGATTTCAGATTTTCTTTACTCTTTTTAACATAGACTTAAGAAATAATTTGTGACAGTAAAGTAATAACATAATAATATTCTAGACCAATCTAAATACCTTGTAAACAACATGAAAAGATATGTACTGATGCTTTTTACAATGAAACAAAATTTAAAAACAGTGAATCAATAGTAGAAAAAAATAGGTGACATTCTCAAGACCAATATTCCTTCCCAGCTTTAATCACCCAGAAACTTTATGGCATCCGTATATTTCACAGATGTAAAGAGTCAGGGTGCAGGTAGTAGGTGATCCTCCTTCCCTGGGGAGGACAGCACATCATGGGGAAAAGGGACAAGGGAACCTGGTCTGGATAACACAAAACAGGTGGGTTGGTGATGGTGGTAGGGATGGAGGGGGGATGTGTGATCAGCATCATGCTACAGCTTGGAGAGAGGACAAGGTGCCATGGGGAGTGCAGTCGTCTGCAAAACTGGATGCACAGCTCCTCAACCAAAAGGACAACTAACTCCTGATCTATAATATAGGCCTGAGCTTTTTCTATCTACAAAATCAAAAATATGTGATAAGCATTGGCATGCAATATAACTTGAAGCCCAGGGAAAAAATCAATCAACACCCTCTTCACTCACTGCATCTCAGGTGAGAAGTCCATCTTCTATAGCTACCAGGAGGAGTGCTCCCAACTACCAAAATAATAGCAATTCAGCAGGCAGCAGCATCTGTATTTTCAGATTTGCTCTATTTCATAGTTGATACCAAAGAGAGAAAGAAATTAATGTAACTTAGAGTGAAGCTCCATGAGTCTCACCCATCCTGCCCTAGAAATTTCAGTTAAGAGGACTGAGAGATTCCTATCTGTGTTTCAGTGGGATTTGTTGTAAGGGAATGAATAGCAATTTCAACGTGCATACTCCTACATACCATTTAAATTAGAGGCCATGCATCTGTCCTTTGTCTTTTGCCTGTGAGCTGTTTTGTTTCAGGTTTCTTGCTAGAAACAGTGGGCTTGCCAGGACTGTAAGTGGAGGCCTCAGCTTGGGCAGAAAAGCCAGTCCAAAGGCAGGGTCATGCTCCACAGCATGCTCTGGTACACATAAAGCAGCCTGGGGAACAGGGCTGGCATAAATAATTGTGACATAGGAAAGGTAAATTCCCACTTAGCCTTCCACTGCACCAAGCTGCACTGTTTTTTTTTTTCCTCCCTAGAGGGTAGCGCATCACCCAGCATGGAAGGAAAGCACTGCTTGCTTTTGTGGCAGTCTCCAGCACAGAGCACGACTGGTCATGCTGCTCCGACTGGGTGTTAAAACCAGAAAGCAGGACAGCAGCAAGGCACACAGCAGTGGAGTTGCTGTGCTGCCTTCAGTTGCCAAAGAGCCCCACGGCTCACCAGCCCCTGGGTCCCTGCCGACCACAGGCCCTGCCACAGAGCCTGCACATGGCATGAGCACTGAGGTACACACGGGTGGGACAGGCACAATTGGGCCTCTGAGCAGCATAGTGCCACTGCCCAGCAGTGTCAGGGGAACCATGTGGCTTCCATATGCCATGAGGATGGCCACCAAGTGTGACAGAGAGAGCCTGATGCTTGGTGCAGCATTGGAACAAAATTCACAGTGGTTTTGGCAGAGAAATGAGAACTACCCAGAAGATGCAAGTGCTCAGAATGAGAGATTAAGAGAAGAATTTTGTGGTATTCCTGATAAGAAACTGCCATGTTAGACTACAAATATATACTTCAAGGTAAGATTAGTAACCTAAAGTTACTAATTAAGGATAGGAAGAAAAATGGGTGTTTTCCTACAAAGGGAGAACCAGGTACAAAACAGCAATACATTTTTGTAGTGGGTTTACGTGGCAAGGTTTTGGTAGCAGGGGGCCATAGGAGTGGTTTCTGTGAGAAAGATCTAGAAGCCGCCCCATGTTTGGGAAGGGCCCCGTTGTTTTCCAGATCTGAGCCAATAAGCGATGTTGTTTTGCGCCTCCGTGAGAGCATATTTAAGACAGGGAAAAAAACGCTGCGCCACACAGCAGCTGGGAGAGTCAAGGGAGTGAGAAACAGCCTTGCAGGTGCCAAGGTCAGTGTAGAAGGAGGGGGAGAGGTGCTCTAGGCGCCGGAGCAGAAGTCCCCTGCGGCCTGTGGTGAGGACCATGGTGAAGGAGGATGTCCCCCTGCAGCCCATGGAGTACCATGGTGGAGCAGGGTTTCACGCTGCAGCCCGTGGAGGAGACCACGGTGGAGCAGGTGGCCCTGCACTGACGGAGGCTGCCGCCTGTGGAAGACCCCTGCCGGAGCAGATTCCGGGCTGGATCTGTAGCCCGTGGAGAGGAGACCACGCAGGAGCAGGTGATCTGGCAGGAGCTGCTGCCCATAGGGGAGCCAGGTTGGAGCAGTTTGCTCCTGAGGGATGGACCCCGTGGTACGGACCCATATCTGGAGCAGTTCTGGAAGAGCTGCTGCCTGTGGGAAGCCCACGCCGGATCAGTTCATCAAGGACTGCATCCCGTGGGAGGGACCCCACAGCACAGGGGACGAGAGTGACCGAGAAGGAGCGGCAGAGAAGTGCTGTAGACTGACCATAACCCCCATTCCCCCGTTCCCCTGCGCCGCTCGGGGGGAGGAGGTGGAAGAGGGTGGATGGGGGGGGAAGGTGCTTTTGGTTTCTTTCCTTTGTTTCTCACTTCTCTAGCTTGTTAGTAATGAGCAATAAATCTTACTATCTGTCTTCTTATGCTGAGTCTGGTTTGCCCGTTACACTAATTATTGCGTGATTTTCTCGTCCTTATCTCAATCCTTGAGCCCCTTTCACATATTTTCTCCCCATTCCTCTTTGAGGAGGGGGAGTGAGAGAGCGGCTGTGGTGGAGCTCGGCTGCCCACTCGAGCGGAACCACGACAATTCTGGAATTTGCTAGTGTGTAGTGAAATAAGCTTTTGGGCAAAGGCAAGGTATCAGTACAAGTGCCTGTTTTTGAAAGCCATGTGAATCCAGATTGCCACAAACACCCTGCTTGCCTGCCCATGGGCCTGGAGACAGCAGGCCCCCAGCATCCCAGGCCTTGCCAGGACACAGAGCCCCAGGCTGCCCTGCATGCAAAAGCTGTGGAGACATATCCCCTCCTCCCCCCCCACCTCCAACCTGCCCCATGCACAGCACAGCCAGCGGAAAGCAAAATGTGCAAGTTTTAATGAATTTGTAGCTGAGATCACACTGTGCATGTTCAAAATATGGATGTATTAGGAAACAGACTTATGTGGAGCAAAAAGATATATCTCTGATGATAATGTGCTATCAGGACAAATTTCAAATTTTTGTTGCTTTTTTAAGAAGTAAATTAATTGACTTAGCTAATTGTTTAAAATACAACCCCCCTAAAATTTAACCATTCTCCATAAATAAAATTTCCATTCAACCCTATTAAGGTTTGGCAAACAGAGAAGCAACAAAACCAGGCAGCCACTAATATGAAATATCGAGCAATCTCAGCACTTGAGGGTGACAGAGCACTAGCACAGGTTGTCCAGAGAAGCTGTGGCATCACCTTCTCTGAAGATATCCAAAACCTTCCTGGGTGCCATCCTGAAAAATATGCTGTAGGTCATCCTGCTTGGCAGGAGGAATGGACTAAATGATCTTCAGAGGTCCCTTCTCCCTTCCAGCCTCAGCCATTTTGTGATTCTGTGGTCTGGTCAGTAGGCAACCATACTAGCATTCACTCTTCTAGCATATACTAGCACTCATACTAGCATAGTAGCAACCCCCAGCATTCACTCTTCAGTAGGTATGCAATGCTAATTTGTACTGGAGCCTCTTTAACTCCAAGTAACACTAGAGGGTTTTTGTCCTTTATTTTCTCTTCCAAAATTGTGTGAAAGTCTTGGAAAAGTTTGTAACTCACAACACTGGTGAGTTGGAAGTCATGGTCTAACTAGTGCATTTGCCTGCTAGTTATCACAGCACTGACGGCAGAAAGGAGAGTTAGAGCTGTGCTCACAATGCAGAAGGAAGTCTTGTGACTGCTTCAGCCACCTGCCTGTGGGGATTTCTATTTTTCATATTACTTAACAAGCATGCACCCTTCTCACAGCATTGGTACTGATCTGTTTTCCAGGAGGATGAATATGTCAATATTGAGAGTGATCTGCATGAAAACAAACATGACTCAGCAGCTGAGGAACAACCACACTTAAAAGGGTAATGTCATTTGGATGAGTAAGTGTTCTATTCACTTTATTCCAGCCTAAGCAGTCAGCAGCCGGTGTTTCTGCATCTGGAGCAACAGCTCAAAAGTTTACAGCTGTGTCCCTGTGCAACACAGACTTTTGTATCACAATTTGGGTAATACCGAAACGCATTGTATTTTAAAATATTATACCTTTCAACTGACATATGATTATGGAACACTTCTAAAACGTTGCAAATTAAAGGAGCAATTTTACTTCTTTTTAAAATTAGCTATACGTTCAATATTTCTGTAAGGGCATTTTTAAAAGAGGCCTTAAACATTATGCTCTTACAGGAAGTGCAAGATTCACTATTGTCAGATTCACTACTTCAGTTTACATAGCTAACTAGCCTATTTACCCCCCTGCAAATTATGAGATTAATAGATGTTAAAAAAAAAAAAAAAAAAAAAGACATTTTGATCTGTTAGAAATTTTACATTTCATTAGCAGTAGCAGTAAACGACTACACAGTGAAAGCACACATTTTACTTGGGGATTGGTATTTTCTCAAAAACTACAAACCCTGTATAAGAAATTCAAGAATTTGAGATAGAGTACATCAAATTTTATTTTCATCAAATTTTATTTTGTTTTATAATAACATAATATTACTAATTATTATAATTATTCTTATTATTTTATACTAACATTAATTATATTATATTAATTATTTGTAATTAATATAATTATTGTTAATATTGCATTTTTATTTTCATCAATTTTTATTTTAATGTCTTTAATGTCTAAAATATTTTTCTGTCATATTGAAACTTCATATAAATCCCCATAGAAGTCATACTTAATTTTTCTGCTGATTTCTATTTTTGCTCTCTATTATGCCATTTCAGCTTTGAACCTACATTTCTACTATATGATTCTAGGAACTGACTTGCTCCTAAATAGGAGTTTCTCTAACTCAAACTGAACTACTTGAAATGGTCTCATGCCTGTAGAAATGATACACTTATAAACAGAAACAGTACTTTTGGTGACTTCATTTATGCTTCTGAGTTGCACTGAGAGAACTTTAAAGACTTCTTAATTTGATCAGATTTGCTGTTGACATCATATTACTAAAATACTGTTTCAAAGTTTAGGTATCACCAGAATTTTCTCTTGTTTCTATTCTGTGTTCTTTGGCAATTTTGTCATTCCTGTAGCAGTACATAACATAAAACAATTTCTTGTTTAAACACTTTGGGTCCTCTCTACCAAAACAAAAGGTTATATTTGATAGATCAAACACCAGAACAACTTACTAAGAGTCACCAGTGGCAAGTGACACCACTTCTGGGTGTCTACCCAGAAATAAATTGGTAGCACAGGCAAATGTTGGCACAGAAGTGCATGTACAAAGTCTTCCCCCTTCAGACCTTGGCCTCTGCCCTGTGAGAGGCAGAGCTGGATCAGAGATGAAATAGTCATTTTCATAGAATGGCTCAGGTTGGAAGGGTTTTTGACCATCAAGTTCCAATTCCCCTGCCATGGGCCAAGATGCCATGCAGTAGATCACGGTGCCCAGGGCCTCATCTAAGGTCTTGAACACTTACAGGGATGGGGCATCCACAGCTTCTCTGGGCAACCTTTTCCACTGCCTCACCACCATCTGAGTGAAAATTTTCCTCCTAACCTCTAATCTCCCCTCTTTTAGTTTAAAACCATTTAAAACCTTGTCCTGTCATTATCTGACTGAGCAAAAAGTTCCTCTCCATCTTTTTCATAAGCCCCCTTTCATTATTGAAAAGCTGCAATAAGGTCACCTCAGAGCCTTCTATTCTTCAGACTGAACACCCCCAGATCTCTCAGCCTTTTTCATAGTAGAGGTGCTCCGGCCCTCTGACAAATACTGTATGTTTGTCATTTATTTTGGTTTATTTGTACTTCTGTGGAGACCCAAGGGCTAACAGAGTTAGCCCTCAAAGGGCTTTACCGTTTTCCTAGGTCCCCTTGTTCTTCCAACAGTAGAAGGTATCATGGCCTTGAGCTGCAAAAGCTTTTTGCAGACTGGAAGCTGAAGACCACTTTGCTCTATTTGAATTATATTCAAGCTACTGCTTGTCCTGTGTTGTTGGATTTGTTCTTGGGGTCTAAGTTTATTTTTATGTTGAGCACCTGACAAGGCAACGGTAGCTCTAAAAGCATGCCCTAATGTGATTTAATGTATTCCTTGTGTCTGGTTAAAAGAAGTATTCACAAAGTGCCCCTTAATTTCAAATGCATCGTTGATTTCTTTCAACTGAACAGCTTGTGATCCGAGACGCAAAACCTTTGAAAGATCAGTCTGGATAACAATGATATGCAATATGCACAAGGTGGTAGCATTCACTTGGAGTGTACATGCAGACCAGAACAAGGATTTCTGAGATGCAAAATGAAAGGGAAAATAGTTTTGGTACACAAATATGTTTCACGTTAAAGTTCTCTTTTAAATGTACTTAAATAAGTGTGTTTTTGTGCTTTTTCAACATCTATTAAGTAAAAGCCATCAGCAGCGTGCTACACTTTAAGCCCCTAGGGTCAGCCTTTAACAAACAGTGTTTATTTAGTAAAGTAACTAGACTTCATTAGGAAGATGATTTTTTCTGCCACCTTTCAGAACAGAGCTGTACATTTATAACATATATGCCTGAATTTTTAAGATATGCTGATATCAACATGATAACCACTAAAAAAAAAAAAAAAAAGAAAAGAAAAAGGAAAAAAGGGAAAGATATTAGATTAAATAAGAAATTATAAAGAATTGTAATCTTAAAATAATGATTTAAAATCCCAAAGAACTCAAAAGACATAGTAATGGATAGTAGCAACTATTTTCTCCCTTTTTTCCTCTTTTTTTTTTTTCTTGGTGGAAGAACAATAAACTTGATAAAGTCACTCTGGCTTATTCATGCCAGTGTCTTTCATTTCTACATTTTTTTTTCTTTTCCTGTTATATCTGAGATTGAGTGGCTAACCTAATGTTCTAAAAAGTAAAAGCAAAGAATTATTATTTGTGAAGTAAAAGGAATTCCTAGGAAAACAAATAAAAAATAAACAAAGAAAACCTGAAATATAAAAAGCAATTAAGATTTCTCAGAGATCCTGTTCCTCTTTGAACTGAACAAGTATTTTTGTTCTCTGCTGAGTGCTAATATAAATTAATATTTCTCTTTTTTTTTTTTTTTTAAAGTGCAGAAAAGTAGGGTATTCACACTGAATTTCAGCATGCATCTGACCCCAGCTGCAGCTGGTTTCCCAACAAGTACAGTCTGGATAATTAGCTACTCTAAACCTATCACAGTCTTTGTAGACATTAAGGCTATGAGAGCCTATTAAGGCTACTTTACAGAGACATAAACTATAGCCGTGATTTCTTTTTCAGCTTGAATACTGATGCACTTATTTAGCTAAAGCTTGTGTAACTAAAATACACCCACATCATCAGCATATTTAACATTGGAAATCTGTGCTGAATTAATTCCCTTAACTTTCTATTTCCCTAAATCTCAGCCTTCTTCATGAAATCACTATGTGTTACCCTTGGTGAGATTAGAAAAGAACAAAAATTAAGTATTTTATAAGTGGAAGAATAGACACTAGGAAATATGCAAATGTTAAAAATCATTTCATCTTCCATGAAGTGATGAGTCTTTGACTAAAGGTTACTGTAAATAACAAATAAATTTTCAAATCCAGAAGCATCTGTTAACACTATAATGTTTTAGATTGATACTGGTTATTTTGCATCCACAAGTGCCGATGGAAGCTACATGCTGTAAGACACACAAACCCTTTAAAATTATTTTTTTTTCTAGGAATGTTATATTTTCATAGGAATGTCACACAACTATTTTTTCAGCCTTCATTCAAACCTTCTCTAACCTACTCCCTTGGGCCTTTGCAACTATAGCAACACTACTCCACACAGCAAAGCTGTGTTGGCTGTACTAACAACCTTTGTGATCTAGTAATGGACGCAGAATCTTTATCTACCTATCTAGTCTGCATTAACCTTGTAAAACAGGCCTTGTTGTGGAAGAACTGTATTGTGGAGGCTGGCATAACTGGCCTACTAGCTTCAGCCCTCCAGATTCTTGACAGACTGGCCCCTTAGATAGCTGGCAGATTTTCCTTTTTACTTGTTTAACATCAAACAAGAGAATTCCCTCCCCCCCAAAAAAAGTTTTGAAGATATCAAAATGATTTTCTTTGGCACTTAGGGTTCCAAATTTATCTGTTACTGTAGTGAAGAATACTCCAGGGAGAAATTTTTGTCAATTTAACCTGATGTTCCTGGGGAAACTACCTTTTTTTATCTATAGCTCAAGTTTCTGTTCTGTTTGTTTTTCACATTTTCCTAGGCCTTTAGAAAAGAAATACGATAAAGCCTGTGATTTTTGCAAGAAACATAAAACCAGAATTAACTACGTGATCTATGGAATATTAATAACAGGTACAGTATATTACACTTAGTGTTGCTGAAGCCTTACTTACATACCTATGCAAGGTTGTAGATTATTTTTTTCTTGTATCTGATACAAAAACTCTTGACTATCTTAAAAAATGCATTTGAAAGGAGGTAAAAGTGAATTTAGTCCCAGAGAAAGTTCCAGATTGCAAACCTCCACTCATTCCCAAACATAACAAAACCAAAATTTTGCTACACTGCTCCTCTAGCATGTTTTAACTCTGACTAACTGTTTTTCAGGGGAAAAAAGGGTAGTTCAGTCTCTATGTCTACTCAATTAGTACCCCTCTTCAAGAAGCTAGTTAAATTACAGTGTTAGGAACTTGCTCAAATCGATGAAATCACTCTAAAAATCAGGGGGATCATCAACCTGGATGGAGTGTAAGTCAGCAGGCTAGAAATTAAAGCTTTCTGCTCTGACCCATATCACTCAACACCTACAGCAAATGTCTGCTTTAAGCAATGCTGTGTTGTATGTCAGCATGTAGTGCAAAGTCATTCAATTATTCTTGCTTGTTACTTTCCTAATTATTCAGTAGGCTGGTTTGAAACTGCCAAATGACAAATGATTAATAACTACTTTATGAAATAAATACATAAACTGCTTTTAAGCTTCCCAGTTACTTCAGAGGGCCATCAAATCAGGCAATAAGCAAATGCTTTTAAATGTTTCTTCAAATTTTATTGGATAAAATCATCCTCTTGTGAAAGAAGAAACAAGATCTATTTTCTTTAATTCACTACTTTTACACAGGAAAAAAGCAGCTATATAGATGTGCAGAGTGATTGATATAATTTATATGAACTTGATCTGGCCAAAGTATATATATTCTGCTTCTACAAAAGAAAGTCATCAAAGAACAGTTCACCATTTTCCAGCAATGCAGTTTCATATCAATGAACATAAATAACAACACTATTTATGAAAGCCGAAATTCTCAATAGTTAGGCCAAGAGTCAGTAAAGCACTCAAGGCACTCAAAAGATAAGCACAGGCCTGACTTTAACCACATCCTTAACTCTGAATTTAAGATTTGATTCTGTTTTCAAAGAGACCAGACCTAACTGACGTGTGTGTTTTTGTTTCTGTGGCAGCTTACATGGCAGTAGTTATTGCAGCCTGCAGCTTGAATTTTCAGAGGGCCTTTCCTCTCCTCATCATTACCGTCCTAGCTGTCTTCTTCATCTGCTGGGATTTTTTAGTAGCGAAGTATGAAGACAGAATTGCTGCATTTCTTTCTCCTGGAGAAAGATATTTGGAGAAACAGTGGTTTTGGCTAAAATGGTAAATATGAATGACTACCTACTTATACAACAGAATAAAGTGTTAGGTCAATTTACCTTTAAATCTTTCTTTAAACTTATGGCCCATAAGCACCAGAAGATGGATCAATCATAAAGAAAATGCAATAAAACCAAACAATATTTGTAGAACAATTATTTTTTTTCCAGTTTGGAGATGTCAGGCACACCCTTAATATTTTAATGCAGTAGTCAGGGGTCAAGAATATTTACAGGAAGAAAATGCCTGCTGCATTCATTATACAAGCCAAAATGTGTCATTGCTGGTTGTTCAGAGAACTGAAGTTTGTTATCTAAGCACTACTTGTTCACATACCCCCACAGCAATGACCTCTAAGCTTTTTTACTTCAATCTTCCGGAGTCAAAATGCACCAGCTACATTTGGTGTCGTACAATCTTATTTGGGATGGTAGGCATTTATCCCGTAAAAAATTGGTAGATATTTAGATATGGTTGCTTTTTATTCCAAATATTCCTTAGCAGTTAGTTATCAGGAATATTTAACACATAACTGGAGTGTGAAAGGAGGCTCACAGAGGTTCCAAAGGCCAAAAAAAAAAAATCCTTAAAAAGAAAATGAAAGTGGTCAGTCACCTTTGCTCTCAGTTACGTCACCTTCTCTCAGAGGAATAAAAAGCTGTAACGAAGAGTCATTCTGGGTTCAGGCAAATGAACACGAATCTTTTTTTTTTTTAATTTAAGATTTTTATATGGTTTTACCCCAGGAGCAGGAATTTCAAAGAAAGATGCTATAAACGTTGTAGTCCTTCTGCTTCTGAGTCATGTTAGAGAGCAATTGCACACGAGTACCTATGTTAGACAATTTGGCAACATCTCTAGGGGAGAGGAGGAGCACAAAGACCAGTAGACCTCTGATGGGCAGGTGGGACAAGTCAGGGTCCATAAGTGCTGTATTATGCAGGCTGCAATCTGTAAATGGTGTGTGTCAGATTAAATGCTTAACTGTAGGTCACAGATTCCAGCAAGAGACAGAAAATCTCTCAGGTGCAGAAAGTGTTGTTTAGCATTGCAATGGACAAAACATTTTGTGGAGCTAGTTTGCAGTATTTTTGATCCAGGCCTAAAATCAAAATTTGGGTATCTAGGTACCACTGATATCACTGGAAGCTAAACAACAGTTAGACACCACTAACATGAAAGAACTGGGACCGTGTTTAATCTTTCTCTCTGTAAATGGGATGATGTATTTCCTTGTCCCTCAGACTGTCGTTGGGATAGTTACCCTAATAAGGAAACCAAACACAGTTCTATATTAGTGGGGACCATAGAAACACTGAACACAGATGTGGACAGTGCTCTCGTTATTGTTTCTAAAATGGCTAAAATTGCTATGACTAAAAGATATTTTTTAAACAGATTACAGCCAGTTGCAAAGTAAGTCAGTTTCATAGGCCCACCAGTTAAACTACAGGATATAGTTGAAATAAATGAAATGAAATGAAATGAAATGAAATGAAATGAAATGAAATGAAATGAAATGAAAAGAAAACCACACGATCAGGCTGACCTGCCCAGATCTAAGAAATGAATCAAGAGAGATGACAGGAAGGGAAAAGGAGGATAGAGTGAGAAAAGATTTTCATTTCATTTAACAGAAATAATGCTCAGACAAAAGTCACTTGTGTTTTATTGTTGTTGTTTTTTTTTTTTTCTCACACTTTGACTCGGGGGACATGGTCAGAGAACAATTCTAGATGCCAGCAAGGGATGTTGCTGTTAGAGTAGCATGAGTAGCACAAGTAAAAATGATGTCCTGCTTATGTTCCTGCTAAACATTTCAACTTAAAACATGCTCAGAGCTCTCATTCATAGACATATGTAAATGTAGAGGTGACAGGGGAAGAAGGAATGTCTGGTCTCCTTCACAATGTCATGCCTGGCACTTTCTCTTGCAGGGTGCTGTGTGCAGCTCTTATCGTAACTATCATCCTCTGGCTTGTCTTTGACACAGCAAAGCAGGGATCCCGCCAGATGATCTCTTTTGGTGGGCTTGTGATGTATGTTGTCTTGATGTTTATCTTCTCCAAATACCCAGCCAGAGTGAGTATCTAGTCTACTTTGGTTTTTGAGTTTAATGTCTCAAAACTATTTCCCTACGCTGGTGTTGAGTTCAGTAAGAGTAACTAAAAATCTACGAACAGCAAAACTTAAACTTGTCAGAGCACAGTGACACATTTTACTTCTGAAGAAAGCTGTTCTGCTGTGACATCTTGGGAAGCAGACATGGGGCTGTACTGGCAGCTGGCTCTCATTTTTCTGGGAGGCTACATCCTGTCCTATGTACTAGCACTTCTGTGGATGGGGATGTGTTTGGTCCCAGAGCATCATGGCAAGGCTAGGCAGTTTGCTCTATGCCTCAACCACAACAGGCTCACCACAGCTCCCAAGATGTCACAGGTGCTTGTATGAATACATTATTGTCATATCAACACAGATTAAGTGGAACTGGAAATGGGTTCCTCTTCTGTGGTTCTTACTCCCTCTTAAGTTTGATTCATACTGCAGATGCCAAGCTCAGTCCTCAAATTTCATTAACATGTTCCCATAGTCTTGTTGATGCCGTTTACGTTAATTTTCCAGCTGAGCTATCCACCTTAATGCTCTGCATTACTGTGATACTACAACGGAGTTAATTCAGCCACCACACCTCTCACCTCAGTTTTTATCCCCGTGTGTATGCCAACCATACAGTGTCTGCTTTTACCGGTTGTATATAATCTACTAGGTCATCGAGTTTCACCAACATTTTTTCAACACTCCTACCTCTGTGCTGAGGATTTGCTTCACAGAAATACCTCCCTCAGCATGGACTGGTGGCCCTGCCACTCCCCACCCTTTACAACTGGTACTGCCTCCAGCTGAGGTGAAAACTTGTATGGTCCAAATGCTTTGTGCTCTCACAGGGGTTCTCCTTACACCTAATTGGCTTGTGTTATTCAAATATCATCTAAGTAAATTAGCGAGTGCCATCTCAGCTCTTTGCCTTGTAAATTTTCAGATTTAGATTTGGTGTTCACAAAACAAAGATGTTTTCTGAGGCAACAGAGAAGAAATCTGCAGTATAGTAGAGGGACTGGTCACATGCTGCCACAGTTTTTCCTGCAACTGCATTCATATCATATGAATTGCAATAGCCAACACTAAATAGCTCTCAACTAGCCAAGCTCTTTAAAGCTGCAGAAGATGAATATGGTTGAAATTACTTTAAAAATAGCAAAATTACCTTATTCCCAGTCCAGATATTTGAAGAGTCCCTATGGTTAGTTACTTTTTTCCAATGTTCCCACTTCAGTAAAAAAAACAAAACAAAACAAAAAACAACCCTGTCAAAGTAACACTTGTTTGTTGCCATCATGTATGTTTATTTGTTTATTTAATCTTTAAGCTTTTTCTTTATTAAGATGATATTTCATCTTTAACACAGGAAGAACAGTTTCTCCTTTTCTTTCTCCTTGTTTACCTGCACTCTGTAATTGTGAAAAGGACATGTTCTTACTTACCTAGACAGCTTTTCAGCAACTAGCTCAGATAGAGGCAACCACATTGCAGACCCTTTGAGCCCCTTGAACATGTTTTGACAGCTGCTGCTACCCTGCAGTAAGACAGACAATCCCTACATTATTTTAACAAACATCTAAAGTATATTATTATGTATTCAAATAACAAGTGGCTTCTCCTTTTTATTTTTTTTTGTAATTATTTTCATTTTTCTGTCCATCTAGGTTGCTTGGAGACCAGTATTTTCAGGAATAGCAATGCAGTTTATTCTTGGGATTCTTATTCTGAGGACCAAAGTGGGGTTTGATGTATTTAACTGGCTAGGAATTCAGATCCAGGTAAGCTACTGGACAAAAACATTTACTTTTTATATCATTTTCGGTCTTGAGACTCTTACATAGCAGTCAGGCAATGCAATGATCCATTTGCCCTGGGATGTTTCCCCAGCTGAGAAAAACTGAAATCTCAGAGTGGTAGTTAACAACCTGAGTTCAATCTTGTTGTTTCTGTTTTGCCCAATTAACACATTATCAATCTTGTGGGACAGGTTGATAAGTAATCACCAGAGTACTCTATTTGTTAGTGCCTCTACTTCCCTTAGATTAAAATCATAACTTGCATCCCTCCAAACACACAGAAAAACTAATGTTCCGTGACACTTGTAGAAACTCTTAGACTTGGTCCAACTCCAAAACATCCTTCTGATAATGCTGCTGTGATGCAAAGCCTTGGGATTTAGCAAGGCAGAACAATCATTATCCTCAGAATAGCCCAAGGTCGTGGTCACAGTGCCATTTCATAGTTCTCACAACACGTAAAAAAGTACAAGTGGCAAAATTCACAGTTGGGACCAGACAAAACAGCTTGCTGCAAGCAGTAAGGGATCTTTAGGGAGGAGACAGGATCCTGCCACAGGTGTCTCTACAGCAGTCTGCAGGTAAAATTTCTTTTTTAAAAAGTCAATTGCTGAAAGGTAATAATTAAGATAAATCCAAAAAGCAGATCAGAGAGTACCCACTGAAGGACATTCAGAGTTTCCACCCCAGGGATACTACTCACACAACTGTTCTTCACAGTACAGATAATTAAGTGCATTTAAATCAAGACAGTGCAGAATGTACCGTTTCCGTGAGGGAGTGAAGGCACAGGTCTGACGTCTGTCTGGCTGCTAATCTGCAAGCAGCAGGAGTCATCTGGGTTTTGTCACCAGATTCTCAGCCTCCCCTTCCAATTTTGACTGAAGTGGGTCTAGTGCCCCCTTTTGTTAGTTCCGTATAGTTTACAGCTACTCCTCACACAACTCATTACCCTGGCTATTACATTTCCGTTTTAAAAAGAATCATTAATAGCATATGTTGTCAACAGGAATATAAAACTGAACCACAATGCCAGAAGTAAAAAGTAAAAGCTTCTTTTATGACAGCTTTTGGCTAGTCTTTTCACAACTCACGAGTTCAACCGTTAAATTTAAACTGTAATTTATTGTACATATTAACATTAAGGGAGTATAGAAATACTCCATAATATCAAGATTAAAAAATACAGTTTTATTTTATTATAGTTTATTGCCTTTATTTTGTTGGGTGCAACAGGAAAACTTGCACCGTGCTGTTCATCTACACAGTTTGAAATAATCTGCATTCATAGAAGAACAGAGCAGAGACCCCTGATTCAGCCAGACACAGTCAGTTAAGCCTGTACCTATAAAGAGCAGAGCACAAGCTCCTCGGACCTCACCTGATAGCTGCGGGAAGACCAGCAATATTTGCATATTTTTTATCACGGACATGGAGCCTATGACTAATTTCCTTTGCTTTCTCTTTGTAGACTTTTTTGGAGTACTCTGACACAGGTGCTAAGTTTGTGTTTGGTGAAAAGTATACAGATCATTTATTTGCTTTTAAGGTAAGGAAGCTTTTATATATACTGTATAGACAGGCAACAGAGAAAGGAAGTGTATGTTTGGGAATTATATATCTTCTGATACCAGTGCAGTAACCATACAGATCAGCTAAGAGGAAAACTCTTCCTTATTCTACTCTGAATAGATATTGTGGGAACCTTGCATATCAGGGATTGTAGTGATAGGACAAGGAGTAATGGTTTTAAACTAAAGAAGGGTAGATTTAGAATAGATATGTGGAAGAAATTCTTTAATCTGAGGGTGGTGAGGCGCAGGAACAGGTTGCCCAGAGAAGCTGTGGATGTCCCACCCCTGGGAGTGTTTAAAGCCAGGTTAGAAGGGGCTTTGAGCAAGCTGGTCTAGTGGGAGGTGTCCCTGCCCATGGCAGGGGGGTTGGAACTGGATGATCTTTATGGTCCCTTCCAACCCAAACCACTCTGTGATTTTTTGATTCTATGATAAAGCCCTTCATTTATTGCCAGGCACTGAGTGAGGTTACACTTGTTTAGTACAGTTACAGCAACTTATATTACAAGTATACAAGACTCTGGGACATGCTTCTACAAGGAATAGATTAAAGGACTCCTCCCTGGTCCTGCTGAAACAAATATTATCTCAAGCCTATCTTTCCTCCCCCCTCCACAAGTAAAGTTGCTATACTATGTTATGTTGTTTTGTTGTCCTATCCTGAAGAGCTGTGTAGACCACTGCCTCACAGACCTCGCTCCTGTAGAAGTGGAGAGCCTCCTTGTATCCGTATACCAAGTAGAAGTGGCCCATGCACAAGCACAAAGAATTGCATTGAGTCATGTCTGGCATTCATGTGATCCCATGGAGATTCCCCTGCTCTCCCTTAGAATTTGTAGGGAAACTGCTGTAAAACATCTCTATGTTCTTCACCATGTAACAGGATGGTGTCTGGTTTTGTTCCCACATAGAGTCCATGCCATGACACTTACAAGTCTGGAATCAAGAACATTTATATGTTCAAAACAACATCAACAACAACAAAAACAATGCAGAATGTATAAGGACTCTATTAGGGACCATTCCTCTGATCAGAGACTGCTGTCATGAACTTCAGACATCTGACCATGGGCTTACAAAATTATCTTCTTTCTTGCCTGAATGTGATACTCCAAACTAGATATAGACTTAGCACTATCACTTCTTAATAATAATAATAATAATAATTTTAAAAATGTTATCTATAAAATATGCTGTTATTAAGAATACTCATAATAATTTAACAGGAAAAAAAAAAAGAAGCATTTCAGCAAGGAATAGAAATTACATTTTAATTACAGTATTTTCTCTTCTTTCTGTTTCACTTTTCAGTCTTTTCTCACCTGTACTCTATTAAACAGTCAAATGGCAACTTGCATTCATGATTACATATTTTGGGTGTGAAATGATTTTATCCCCAACCCCAACCAAAATGCTATTGTCCTGTGTTTCTGCACAGTGCATTCTGAATATGATTTTTCAAGTTAATTTTATAATGTTTCTGAGATGATGCAAAACATTTTGCTGACTAAAGCCATAACTATCGACCACACTGTCAAAAGTCTGCTTCCATGAATGCAAACATCCACTAGTTTTACTGTATGTGGAGTTTCTAGAAGATGATAACAAGCACAAAAAAAAAAAAAAAAAAAAAAAAAAAAAAGAGTTGATTTTCAGAGCTGCATATGTCTTGGTATAGGAATATATACAGTAAACAGAGTGGCAGATAAACACACCGCATGACAAAACATCCTCCATCCTCTAATTCTGTAGGAAGAGATTTCTGTCTTTCTACACTGGTCATGAGTGACAGCCAGCCTATTATCTCTTGAAACACTTGTCACTTTTTTAGACATTAAGATGGTCAAAAATATTTTTGTGTCTTTCAAATATTTTGTCAAATCTGCATATAGTGCTGAGCTGACCAGATTTTAACCCATGATTATTCCGAAGTGTGTTCAAAAAATGAAACCTCTCAATATTGGCTTAGCTCAGGAGAAGGAGTGAACAAGTAATAGTACCTCTTTGCAGAAAGCTATCAGAGCCCAATCATATCCATATTGCATCCTTAGAAATAAGCAGGCACACCTCAGTTTTCTGCTGTGTTAGATGCATGCGGTTCCCAGAGTAGACATATCCCCCACAGGCACCCACTGGGCATTCTGACAAGTCCCTTTACAGCCTTTGTGCCTTTTAGTCACAGAAACACTAATTAGTCATAGTCATTAGGGTTTTTCACATGCATGTTTGTGTATGCAGATGCAGAGTTTCGGAGTTCTGAAAAAACTTGCCCACATAAACAAGCTAATGCACATTGTTTTACTGTAAGAAAAAATACTCTGAACTAGCAGAAACACTCTTTTTGGTCTATTACTAAGTCTGGTGAGTGCGATCACACAAAGTTTCTCTTGCCTTTATCACACCTGAGTAGTCAAGTAGTTGGACAGTACCTTAATATTGAGTCATCTCCTCTGTTGACTACAAAAGGCAAGGTTTGCTTCAAGAAGCAGGGAGTTAGGCTTCTAAGCATAGATTTCTAGTTAGATTAGCAAGCCATATAAATATAATTCTAAGGAGATCTTTCATATCAGTTCTCAATGGAAATATAATGGGATTTTTCACAGTGCTCATTATAAATTTATTCATTATTACATTTCTCATTTAACCAACAAATGAAACACAGCTAATTACAAATGATATGGCACCACTACCTTCCCTTGCCATGCAGGTATTCCTACATACACAATGTGTGTAGATGTCCCACAGTTAGAGAGGGAAGTTGTTCTTAGATTCCATGCCTAAGGCCATGAGAAGGAACCATCTGATGTTATTGATGCCATGACTCTTACTCTCCTCCTTTGGGCACTGCAACAAGGAGGAGGGGTTCGGCCTCCTCTCACAGATAACTTGAGAAGGATGAGGAATGGGCTCAAGTTGCTCCAGAGAAAGTTGAGGTTGGAAATTAGGAGACATTTCTTCTCAGAAAGGGTAGTCAGGCATCAGAGGCCAGGGAGGTGGTGGTGTCACCATCTCTGGGGGTGTTTAAGGAAAGGTTGGACATGGTGCTTAGGGATATGGTTTAATGGGTAATATTAGTGGTAGTTGGACAGTTGGACTAGATGATCTTGGAGGTTTTTTCCAACCTCAATGATTCTATGAGGGAGAGGATGGTGAGCAACACAGGATGTTCCTTCCCCCTCCGTTCTCCCACTCTCATCCAATCTGCAATGTGCAGTCCCACATAGGCCCAGACTGAAAGTGACATTTCTCCTTCTCTCACTCTCAGGGAGAGAGGAACCATACAGACATGGGACCAGAGGAGTTTTCTTGAGGTTGTTCTGTCCTTTCTCCCAAGTTTCAAAACCACTGACTTAACATTTCAGTGTATTAGTACAGCAGAGTGCCTTTCTGCAAAACAGTTCATGTGGTTTGTTTTTTTTTTTTTTGTCGTTTGTTTTGTTTTCAGTTGTTAAGTTGTTAAGTGTTTTTCATTACATTTATGTCTGCAGACAGTGCAATTGAAAACCCACTGCTGTGCAACGGATTGCAAGTAGTTTATTTCCATTCTGCTTATTTTAGAGTAATGGTTTTCATATACTTTTTTCCCTGTGACTTTGTTATGACCTAGATAAATGCTAGCCTGGTTGTGACAGATCATTGCAACAATTATTTACCTGTTAAATGGTTGCTACTATTTTCTGATGAAGACATAACATAATAGATACCACATTAAGTCATTGGGAATTCAGGCAGGAGAATTTACTTACAAAGTAGTCCCCAATTTCTTTATGCAGTGAAGGCAGATATTATCACAAATGGAAAAAAAAAAAAAAAAAAAAAAAAAAAAAAGCACCAAAAACTCCCTGTTTCATAAAGACTAATGCTACATCCAGAACTGCCTGCAACTCAAAAATGGAAAAGCATCTTTTAGAGTTATCTAAGCTATTTTCAGAGGAATGTGCAAAAGAAGTGAGGCAGAGGGATGCTGGCTGTCACCCAGCACAGGCAGAACATTGTCTCCTCACTCCTTCAGCTAGAAATGTACATACCATGGTAGCATCCATTCAGAGTGAAAGACACTTAAGATTTTTACCATCCAATATATACAGCTGACCTTTGATCATCTAAACTGAGTCTCCAGAGTTTTATCAAAATTGTTGTTTGTATTAACTTTTCTCTAGAAAGGAACAGCATTAATTTACCAGCAAGTTCTGAACAAACAATTCATTTTGTTCTTTCTTGTTCTGTTCACGTCTTTTATTTATGATGTATTATGACCTTGGTTGAACATACATAAAAGCTTATTATTTCTAATAGTGCTGTTTTAGCTATAACAAACTTGTCTGCCTAATTCTGGACCTTTCTGGGGGATATTTCTTCCTGTTACATACAAAATGCTGAGCTCCTACACGTTTAACATACTTGAAAACCAAGTGATACTAGTTTTATTCAGTATGAAAAACTAACACAGTTAATAACCTGTCACACAGTGGGTTAGGCATCATTGGAATTATTTTAAGTCATATTTAAGGAAAATGTTTTCCTTCAGTCTCAACTGAAGGAGAGATACTTAGAGACTCCTTGTATTTAAAAAGTGTACACCTGTGAATTTGTTTTTACGTAGACTGTGTCTGCATTCACAATTACAGAGTTCTTGAATGTGCCCCATTGTCATTACACTGTCATATAATGTTATCAATAGCACTGAATAACAAAGGAAAGAGGATTTTGATATAGTGTGTTATTAGGAAGCAGCTACACTGTTTGAGCTTTCTAAGGAAGCTGTCCTTGATTCTGGGAAATAAGTCAGTTACAGTCTCCATCAGAATCTCCCCATCTTCTGACGGATTTTTCTCTCCCAATGTTTATATAGCACTCTAAAAAGTTTTATGTTTTTTTTTTTTTGGTTGGTTGTTTTTTTGTTTTGTTTTGTTTTGTTGTTGTTGTTTTTTTGTTTTTTGTTTTTGTTTTTGTTTTTAACACACACATGGAAGCTGACTTCTGAATTCTATGCTACAGTCCCACTGTACATATTTCATGGTTTTCAAAGTCTACAGATGTACATACCCAAGTCTTTGTAGATGCCAGTGCCCAGTAGTTGTTTGAGCTATCTCAAACATAGCTATCAACAAATGTGTATCATGTTAAACCAGACTGTTTCAAAACCATTGCTGTCCTATCAGAGAACTAAACAGATACATAAAAAAAATTCCAACACAAACACACACAAAAAGTCTAGAAAGTTAAAAGTTTTACAGCATAAGTGTAAGCTTAATGATCAGTTTTCAAGACCTCTAAGAGTATCTTAAAAAACATGAACATCTTTTTCAAAAATTAAGTGACCTACAGAATCAAGGACAGAAAAACCACTCTCGAAGTGTTAACGATTTTATGTTTCTAAATCAGGTCCTGCCAATTGTGGTTTTCTTCAGCACAGTAATGTCTATGCTGTATCACCTCGGAATCATGCAATGGCTCGTTGGAAAGGTAGGAATAGTCACCAGTAGATTCTCATTTGCCTAGTACAGGACACCTCTTAAACACATGTAACACTGTCCCTGTCCAAGCTGTTCTGGGATGGACATATGGGAGGTAGTTTATTTTTAACCTGGAAATAGTTTTGAATGTTACAGCCACAAAATCCTAACTGACATCATCTAGAATGCTTTCTTCCACCAGCATGGTCTTATTGTTAATATCACAGTAGTTGTTAGGTTTTAAATCTTCCTTCCATCCTTCCATCCATCTGCCCCATGTCCATTCCCCAAAATGTATGATTGAAGTTAGACCACAGCAAGTGGATTAATGCCTACTGCTAAGCATTGCAGAAGCAATTGCAAGTACTTCTCTGTCACAGATCCCCTGAGAACTTGTGTCTCTGAATAAGATCAGAAGATGTTTCCTCACCTCGTTCTTTAAGTGTTCATTTCAGTCAGGTCCTAGGTCCAGTGTCAGTGTCCAACAGCATTATAGCAAGTCTACAAATAGTCTTTCTGCCCTGTCTGCCCAAAGAACTTAGCAGATGAGGGAAAAGATCTTTTTGTATGGTAGTGGTTAAAGCATATTTCTAGATAAACTTCAAAAGTCCTTTGACCTTGTCATTCCAAGGATTGTTACATTATCACCACACACCTAACCTAGCTGAAATACCATGTGCTAAAATTTCTAATATGTATTTTGAGCCTTAATAAAATTTTACGTTTTCTCCCTGTATATGATCAAAGTCCCTATGGACAGGCATATAAATAATAAGGACACATTAAAATACCTGCTTCTAGTAACTCAGTTCCATGTCCAGGAGGAGCCTGGGGTCTTTCAGAATTGTACTCTCAATTCTTTTAAATTATTATTCCTCTGTCTTATTTAAGCATGCTACTATTATATGAAGGGACAATATCTTGGAGTTGGAATCATTAACTCGGGAAATATTTTAAGGCGTCTCAGAACTCTGACATTGACGTGATTAATTCAAGAAGTACATTTATTAGGCAGACCAATGTCTCCTTTTTTTTCTTTTTTAATAATTTTAGGTTGGCTGGATAATGCACATTTTTATGGGGACAACTCCTGTTGAGTCTTTTGTAGCTGCTGGTAACATATTTGTGGGACAGGTGAGTTGAAGCATGGAAAATAATACTAGTATAGGATTACTGATTATTGTGAAATATGGCTGCTCAGCAAGCATCTGTGTATAAAAACAATAATCCTCATTTCATATGAAGTAAGGACTACAGTACAGAATGGCTGGTGGTTGATTTCCAGAAAGACTGAATTCTGCTAAGTGTTGGCAGTGATACACAATGGGGCAGGTTTTGGGAACCGTATCTCTTCCCAACAGAAATTTAAGCATAAATATAGGTGATACATCTCCCTTAAAATGACTACAAGACTACTCCAAGGCTATGAAAAAATACATATATTTTTTTTTCAAATAAGAAGGAAAAGGCAAATAGGATGAAAAGAACTTTCATGAGGTAGGCAAGGGCAGAAAGACAGATAATTCAGAAAAAAATAAGATCCAGGCTTGGCTTTGCAAGGCCTTAGACAGGAAAACATGAGACAGACTAATTTCCCAACTAATGGGAAAATCCAGTAAAACAACACTACAGCAGTGTCTGTGCCCATCTTCAAAACACTGGGAAAAGATCACCAAGTAGTGTCCAAGCACAGAAACAATGCTAACACATGATAGTTATTTTGCAGCAGTGCCCCACTGTTTAGTACTTCTTCCAGACTTAAACCAGTATGTCCATATTATACTACCCCCAGGATGTGCTCACACACATACCAGAGGACTCAGAGCTTTAACCTGAGTCCAACCCATAAATACTGGTTGGTATGCATGTTTCACATGACATACACGTTTAACTGCAGCTCAAACCCATGGCTGTTTCTAACTCACTCAAAACTGGGTTAGGATTTCCTGGCAATTCCACTAGGTTTGGGGGAGACTTTAAAACAACAAGAACTATCTACAGACAAGATGGATGTTGGTACAATTTTCCCTCTTGGGGAAAAAAAAAATAATAATTATATTCAGAGCATTCATTAGCACAAAGATTAACTAGTCAAAAACACCTAGGAATGTGCAATGCAGCCACTGATTTTCCTGACCTGTTAATAAGAGAAACCTCTGAAGATTTATTAGATGGTTCTTCATTTTTTGGTTGTTTTTCACTTCCAGACAGAGTCTCCTCTCTTGGTAAGGCCCTACTTACCATACATCACCAAATCTGAACTCCATGCAGTCATGACAGCAGGATTCTCCACTATTGCTGGAAGTGTCTTAGGCGCATATATTTCTTTTGGGGTAAGAAAAGGAAGAAGAACTGAAAAATACATTTTCTGTCTTAAATTATGCAAGTATAGAAGCCTAGGTAAAATGCTGGCAGGTATCCACAAGTCATTACTTTTATTTTTATTTTTATTTTTATTTTTATTTTTATTTTTATTTTTATTTTTATTTTTATTTTTATTTTTATTTTTATTTTTATTTTTATTTTTTGTTTAATTTTTTAGTTTTGTTTTATTTTATATTCCTGGACTTATATATATATATATATATGTATGTATGTATGTATATATAAATATATATAAAAATATATATATTTTTTAAGGAATTAACCACAAAAAATGCCCTGTCTCCTGACGGTAAAAAAAGACACCAAGACCTGATCTTAAGTATCATGAACTTCTACCTAAGTAGTACAGAGTCTTCTTGCCATGGCTGCAATGAAGTTACTAATTTGTGTACTTTACTACAGTCCAGATGAACTGACATGGAATGTGCTAATGGATCAATGCCTGCAGCAGTGATATTGATTATGTCCTTCAGGAATGGATGCTAGGCATACAAGCCTAAAGAGTCCACTTGTGACTGAGGTTCCAGTAATGCTGTGCAAACACAAGTAGCAAATGTCTTGTCTGCCAAGGGGCTGATAGCACAACATTAGACAGAAAAAACAGAGTTGAAGATATGATTTATGATCAGAGTCATCAGGGGATAGTTAATGAACATTCAATATCTGGATAAAATACAGTGGAGAGGCAGAGGCAAGAAGGCAGGGTTGTCTGAAAAGACAAAGTAAAACAAGAAGAGGAGAGATGGAAATACTGCAAAAGTTAGCAAAGAGGAAGTTTTATGTAGAAATTTGTGGAAAAAGGGGTGAAAGGGTAATAGAGGAAATTATGTTAGGCCCTGTATTTTTTATAAAATGCAATTTCAAGGGACAGAAACAATTTTCTGCCAGTGAGGGGCATAGTTTAGGGGAAGGCTGGCTCTCACTCATCCACTCCACTGTTGCTACACCCCAGACCTGGCTTTTTTTTTTTGGTCTCCTCCATGGATCTTGCTTTCTTGTTTCTTTGTTTCTTAATTTTGATCTTTGCTTTGCCACTAGATGAGGGAGAAGCAGCTTACCTCTTTGAGCAATTACTCCTTACTTTTAACATCTTAGATTCTTCCTGTCTCCAATTAGCTCTGTCCTATATTGCTCATTTTATTTTTTTCCCTATGAGTAATGTGATCTTTTTAATGACACCCTGTAGAAAATTATCCAAACTTTTAAAGATTTTTCTTACTTTTTACATGTTTGCTTATGATGTTCATGATGCAGTTATTACAGCATGTTTTCTGTCACCTGAAATTCTAGATTTCTGCCTCTCACCTACTGACTGCTTCTGTCATGTCAGCACCAGCATCGTTAGCCACCTCCAAACTATTCTGGCCAGAAACTGAAAAGCCTCAAGTAACTTTGAAGAGTGATCTTAATATGGCAAAAAGGTAAGCTGAAATAGACTAGTTAATGGTGATACTCATGCAAAAATGAGATTTAGAAGAATAACTAAGGTTTTGGGGCAGCACATGGTAGGTGTGCAGGTAATACACGAAGCTAATGGTTTCTGTATTCAAGTGCAACGTGCCCTGCTACACCTGTGTGAAGGGACCACAATTCACTGGGGCAGGCATAGAGCTGTCATGGAAGAGGGCTGGACAATAAACTCTTCATAGAGCAAAAGAAATTCCTGCCCAACGTGAACCACCAAAAGATTTTCCTAGTTGCTCTTTGCTTTGCAACAAATCTGTAAATACAAGCAAACAAAAACAAAGGTGGAGAAACTGATGCTTTCAGTGATGGCAGCAGCAAATATTGCTCATCTGCAGGGAGACTTGCTTGCCTCAGAACTAACAAAGTAGAAAGGCTTGTGAGAAGCTGCACTTGATCAGCCTGGGGCATCTCTGCAAGGGCTGCCTCAAGAAGAGTAGTGCCCACTCCCCCATCCCAGCAGTGCCTCAGGCAGTTGCAGCACACAGGTCTGATCCAGAGCCTGCCCAATGGCTCCATCCCTGCCCCAACTGTGCCAGAATTTGTCCTCAAGGAACTAAAGGCACACCCTCCTAGTGGCTCCCAAGAGTATACAGGCCAGAATCTACTCCCCCTGGTCATTAAAGAGTAGGTTTAGATTAGATATTTAAAAGAAGTTCTTTACTATGAGAGTGGTAATATGGGAGAGGCACTGGAACAGTTTGCCCAGAGAAGTACTGATTCCCCATCCCTTGAAGTGTTTAAAGCCAGGTTGGATGGGGCTTTTAGCAACCTGGTCTAGTGGAAGGTGTCCCTGAAGGAAAGTTGGAACTGGATGGGTCCTGTCCAACCCAAACCATTCTGTGATTCTATGGTTACGGAAGTTAATTTCTAATCACATCAACGTTACTTTTAGTTCCATTATTTGATCTTGAATTACAAACTGTTCATATTTTGTTACAAAATGCCACAAAACAAATGTTTTTAGGACAAGCAGGAATGGCCTCAGGTTGTGCCAGCCCAAGAGAGGTTCAGGTTGGATATTAGGAGAAATTTCTTCTCAGAAAGAGCAGTCACTCATTGGAATGGGTTGCCCAGGTTAGTGGTGGCATCACCATCCCTGGGGGTGGTTAAGGAAAAGTTGGATGTGGTGCTTAGGGATGTGGTTTAGTGGGTTATATTGGTAGCTGGGGGACGGTTGGACCAGATGATCTTGGAGGTCTTTGGTCTTGGAGGTCAACCTTAATGATTCTATGATTCACACACTGGTTTTGTTTTCACTGATAAAGTGAATCAAAGAACCTGCTTGAGGCAGCCAGTCAAGGTGCATCTAGCTCCATTCTGCTGGTGGCAAACATCGCTGTGAACCTGATCTCCTTCCTTGCCCTGCTGGCTTTCATTGACTCAGCTCTCTCTTGGGTGGGCAACCTGTTTGACTATCCACAACTGAATTTCGAGGTATGGTCTTCAGGTCCTTAATTCAGCCTATATACATACATAACTTGCCTTTCTCAAATTAAGTGTCTGCATGGTTTGCTGTTGTTGTTTGTTTGATTGTTTATTTTAATTTTATTTGTAATATGATCTAAAACTTTATATTTTTGTGTGCATGTTCTTTAAAAAAATGTCTTTACAACCATTTACAGCCAAAGGAGAAAATTGTTGCCATGTATGTATTTCTGTATCCATTAGTCCATGTAGTTTCCCTCTGGGTTGTTCTTGATAAACAGCAGAGTACTTTTACCGAGCATTGTATGCTAATGCCCACCACCTCTGACTTGGCAACATCTCAGATCTGACACTTGCTAAGCCACTAACATCTCTTTCTGCTAAACATTAAAGTGTCTTTAGCTTCAGATAGCCACATCAAGTCCTTAATGCTCACTGACTTCATCTAGATAAGGACAATGGGACAAGGCTGAACTTGTCTGAACCCATGCTTACTCAATATTGCTCAGTTTTCAGTGTAATTATATTGTAAAACTGCACCCAAATCAGTCAGCTGAGCAAACAGCTTTAAACAGAACTTGTTTTTTAACTTAGGTTAATACATCTTTTTAACCCAATCAAACTATCTTGTTTCAGTGGATTTGAGCTATTTGTTTTGCAACCTCCTGATAAAAGGGCAGTGTGAAACACGGATATAGCACTATAATGCAAGTGTTGGAGAAGTCTATAGACACTCACAGCAGATACAGATGCTACCCTACTCAGCTGCCACCACACTAGACACCCAGAGCAGAGGAAAGGCACATTTATGCATACCTCAGCCATAATAATTGAAAGGGTGGTATTTTAATAACTGCTGGATCGAGCAGGATTTGGATGAATTGGTAACCCACAAGGAGATGCAACCCAAAGACCTGTTGCGTTCAGCCATTCCTTCAGAGACACACTAACATCTGTTATGTTCAGTTCCATTGCTGGATTGGGTCTAGCTGGGGACCTTAAATTTAGGCTGATTTTGTGGGACTGTGTTGTGGACATACTGACTTGCTGAGTATTTCTGTCCTTAACAGGAAAGGAAGAAGTTTGTGTGGGATCATTCTTTCTGGGGGCAGAGAAAACAATGAGAAATAGCAATTGCTCAAACACTTCAGTTAAATTCACAAGAGACCATCTGACCAAACCTTTTCACCACTGGATGTATTTTCTTTCATATATAAAAATAGCCTATAGTGGGTTATGCTATTTATTTCTCTTGCATAGGTTTTATGCTAGGAAAAAAACCCATATAGCTATAATTATTTTAGGAATACAGCTTTTCTGCTGAGTCAAGCCCTTTGTGTACACCAGTTGAAGTCCAATAACATGATTATTAAAGCCTGTTCATTGATAAACTTGATTTAATTAGCACATGAACTGGATTTCTCTTTTCTCATATTGCTCTTTTAACTCAGTCCTCAGTTTGCTTCAAACACTGTCCAATCTGAAAGAAAAAAGGCAAGAAAACTTCTGTTTTATTTTAAGTGTAAAATTAAGGATAAATCGGATTACTTTTTTAGATCTAGATTTTCTGTTGTTTGTTTTCAAATTGCTCAGGCATACCTGCTTATTAAAAATTCCCAGTCTCATGGATGTGTTGGCAGTAAGAGATCAATACCAATGTTCCTGTGCTGGAATAAAACCATACTTATTTTAAATTTCAAGAGTTTATCATTGGCCATTGTTCATTGACCAATCATCCCTTGTGACCATCCCTTTGTCTTATATATTTTGCAGAACATTTGTTCATATATCTTCATGCCATTCTCCTTCATGATGGGAGTAGATTGGGAAGACAGCTTTATTGTTGGTGGACTCCTAGGTTACAAAACTTTCTTCAATGAATTTGTGGCATACGAACGCCTCTCAAAACTGATTAACAACCGAGAAAAGGGTGGGAGCATGTACATTAATGGTGTGAAACAGTATATGACTGTAAGTAACATTTTTAATTCTGGAGATTTATTGGATCTAATTATTTTCTGCTGTGAGTCAACTGGCATTATAACATGGTCACAGAGGGATAATGGCAGCATATTAAAAGGTATCATTCAGCAACAGTTTTCAGCAAGAGTTTAATTATTAAAATACAGCATTGCCCTGTGAGGCTGCCATGACTGTCATCACCCTAGGTATCTCTAACAAACATAGCAAAGAAAGATACAGACTTTGGTAAGGGGAGTTTTGAGGAATGTTCACTGTCCCACAAAACACTGCACTAATGACCAAGTCTGTCTTCAAGGTTTGTTTCTTCTTAACTCATTCTTAACTAGAACTTCCCTATTAGATACTTTCCTATGAAAATACTGGGCAAGAACTAGAGGATATTGCTGTCTACAGAGGTTTACCCAAGCCTCATGTTTCAGGAAAGGCATCCAGATAGCTCTAGCTTTTAAGATATTATTTAAGATATCTTTTAAGATATTATTGACACTCAGTGGTCCATGGCACACCTGTGATTGAAGTTATTGTCCTCTGTGCAGAAGGCAGTAGTACAAAACGTGTATTACATGGTATACACCACTCCTGCCACACTGAGCCCAGCCAGTTTGTTTCAATTGCCAATGAAGGTTAGTATGCACAAGGACTTCCAGCTGAAGCCTGAGCCCAGGTGTCCTTCACATGTCCACCTGGATTCACCCAACAGGATACCTAATTTCTACTACAATTCACTGAAGAAGAAACCTCACTGAAGATGGCAACACAAGGGGTATCTCAGGTGTGTGCATGAGGGCAAAGAACACATGGGGATCAAGGCTGACTTTGTCAGCTGTGACTCTTACATCTCCACTTGGCAGTCCTAGCTGCTACCCCATCTGGCCTTGCCATGCAGACTCTGTGCCAAATCTGTCCTCGCTCTAAGCACTGTGATACTTAGATTTGCAACTGCATTGGCCTTTGCTATTCAAATCAAGGTAAGTTGTGGCTATAGAGAACCCCTGCTTAGGAAGCATCCTTATGTACAACCTTTAATCTTCATTTTATCTAGTATGGTGATGTGGATACCTGCCCTATGTACAAACCAAAACCATGTTCCTGACCACTTGCATTCCTTATTACTGGAATGTATTTTACAAATGGAGGTAGAAAGCCAGGAAGTTCAAATACACTTTTGCAAAAGTACCCATTGCCAGCGGTAGGACCCTGAGCTAGACAGACCTTTGATCAGCTCCACTACAGTCATGTTATGTTCTACAAGGGGAATATGGCTCTCAACTGAATAAGTGCTTGGAGTTTTTTTTTTTTCTTTTTAATCTTGAAGTCAGCTTTTTCTGAGTCAGATCCCACCACCTGTATTTTAATTTTTTTTTTCCTCAGTGAAATACCTACAAAGAGCTGTGTTAGCTTCTGTGGTAAAAAGCTCTGAGATGCAAAAATAATTTTGATTCATAACACTTGTAAAAATTGCAAAATAACCACTTTAGCTATGGCACAAGAGTCCATCTGAGAGTAGCTTGGCTTCCAGTTTTCATGTCTGTTCAGTTTCAGAACTCCCTAATACATCCAGTCACAGATATTCCATCAGAGAAAGCGAACAATCAGTCTTCTCAACTACCTCACCTGAGTCAGTAATAACAAGTCTTCTTGTTTTCTGAGCTAGGAGAATGCAAGTGAAAGCAGAGAAATCATCAAACACAAAGCCTTTTCTAGGAAAAGCGGGTAGAGTGTGCACTTGAAAAACATTTTCCTGCATATATGCAGGCTGATTGAAAATGTCTGCAAATTGGTTTTCATAAAACAGGAAGGGAAACAGAGAAATTGATAAATAGGAAAGCTACTAGAACCCTCACTCATCTGTCTTTAGCTTGCACTTAAAATACAGAAAATAGGAGTTCAAAGCTGCCTGGGGGCAAAAATCCATTTGCTGAGAGATGTTGCATCTCTTCCCAAAATGTCTGAACTACGTTTGTCTATATGTTTGTAACCTGATTTCACCCAAAGTCATTCTGTGTCCTGTGGGGAGTAGGAATGTGGGGGGCAGACGAAGGGTAACCTATATTGTGCACTGAGGTCCAGAATAAGCTGGTGTTGCCCAAGGGAAAGAAAGTGGCTGAAATCAGGAACCAAATAAACTGCTACCGGACATTCCAAAATCATAAAGTCCCTCTGCCTGTTATCACATCAAGGCACCCACTCCAGAGGAGACACATTTCCTTTTTCTTTTTCCATGTACAGAGTGGAGCATGTACAGAGTAGCTGGGCACATGGAACCCTCTGCTTGTTCCAGGGACAGGGAAGTCCGGCAATGCATACCAAAACTTGAGGTTTGAACAGAGTTTTATAAAGGCAGACCAGCTATGAACTGCAAGCTGAGTTAAAGCTCTGGCTCACACCCTGAAAAAACAATAGCTGAATTGCCACTAGTGAGATAAGAAAAATTTTTGTCTTTAATTACTATTACTGAATTCAGGAAGGCACAGCAATATACATGAAAAAGAAAACAGTCACACAGTCTGAGTCCTCAGGTAGGAAAGCCTGCACACCTTCAAGAGGAGAATGAGCTTACTTTGCTCAAAGCCACACACTCAGGTAGCAACCAAGCGAAACAAAGTGATTTCAGAATTCAGGGCACTGGGCCACAATGCCATGTTTTCAGACCTCTAAAACAGAATGGGTTGTCTCAGTTCACTCAGCCATGTCTGTTTGTTTTTCAGGTCCACTCTGAAATAATTGCCACCTATGCTCTTTGTGGATTTGCCAACTTCGGCTCCCTGGGACTGGTAATAGGAAGCCTGAGTAAGAACACCTCTCACAAATAATTTATTTAGCAAGCAAATCCCAAATTAAACACCCAGAAGGACAGGTGAAGCTTTGCCTGTCTGAGCAGCTGCTTTACCAAAGCTCAGCACCTAGCTGGGTATGGGAGGGCTCCACAGGGGATGCAGGCATTGGGGCACAGGTACTGGGAGATGGGCTGAGAGCAAGGGGAGGGGACCAAGCCCTGACCATAGGTCTTCCTGTCCATATCTCATGCTGCCAACTGTTGCAACTATGGCAAATCTTGGGCTTTGGGGTAAGCAAACCATCTCTAATCTGAAAGATAAAATAAGCTATTTTCTCTAAAGATGTTACATGTATAAAAAAAAAAAAAAAAAAAAAAAAAAAAAAGCTTTTTAGAATAAACTTTTTGGATCTCTAGAAAAATTGAAAAGTCATCTGAGTTTCTGAGTTTCTCACCAGACAGACAGAATTGGTGTCAGATCCCTTTACCCTGGGAGACCAGGTGGGTTCTGCAGTGCCAGCAGCAGTGCCAGGCAGTGTGGAAGAGCCATGAGGCCAGACCCCAGTGCCATGCCTGGGATTCATTTCTGAAAGCTGCTTAGAGCTGGCACAGACTTGTGAATTGACAAAACAGAAATTACTTTTTGGCACAAGCCATCTTAATGGAGCAAGCAAACCTTGCCATGAGGCTTTCAAATGCCCCACTAAAATGTCTTTTCCATCCTTGTTTCTCATGGTTAGAGCTACAGGTTGAGGCTTTCCTCTCATGAAGGGAGAATTGTCAGGTTCATTTCCTTTACACGTATATGTATTTATGGCTTATACACACTTTATTTTCTTCCTAGCAAGCCTTGCTCCCTCAAAAAGAAAGGAGATAGCCGGTGGTGCTTTCAGGGCTATGATTGCTGGAACTGTTGCCTGTTTCATGACAGCCTGTATCGCAGGTACTGTACTGTTTAGCATGTCATAGTGTGAGTGTCCACAGGGTGGCAGTGCATCTGTGTGATAAATGCAGCAGAGAAAATCCTGTTACATAAAACTAGTATTTTTGGTTTGGACACGATTAAAAGCCAATATTCAAAAAGTTGCTGAAAAATGGAATAGATAGTAAAAAATATGTTGTTTCTTCCTCTCTATCTTTTTTGTTCTTCTATGTATAACACCTGTCATGCAAAAAAGAGATAATTGCAAGTTATAGATGAGACACCTCATACACACCACTGGCTACAGAAATATTGAAGTAATTACAGAGCAGAAATAGAGCAGTAAAATGAAAGTAGAATGCAAGAGAGAAGGAGTGAGGTGGAAAAGGAACAGCTTTTGGCCTTAGTGATGAAAGGAAATTTTGTGCTGACAGTATTCCCACAATGCATTTAAGTTAATGAAACCATCTCAAGGTGGAACTCAGCAGCATATCCGTGTTTTCAAAGTCTCACCTTCAAGCTGAATGAAGAAGTACAAGGAAACAGCCATTTTAAGGAGGAAATTAAAATGAACATACTAGAAGTCATCCAGGAGATATGCCCAGATATGATTCAGCAGGCAAAATTTATCCCCAGTATTTAACTTTCCCAGCTTACTTTTTGAAGCACGTGATATGCAGAATTGTATGGCAAAAGTTCAAGCACTGATATTCCTCCAGTGAAGAATGAACTTGGTACCTTATGTAGCTGAAAAAAATGTGTCTGTATGAACCCCATCTTCCCTATCAATTTGTGTTCACTGCAGCAACAAAAACATACGTGTTGTAATGATAATCCTGCACTATTTTCTCAAGGTTATAGATCTAGCACACTTGAAAGTTTATTAGTAACACAACCCTCCATAATATTTTAATGCATGACACCATTCTGTATAACTGAAGAATCAGGAAGTCTTCCTAAAAGGTATCATTTCACAACATCGGCCTTAAGAATAAAATCATGAACAGCCACTGGGCAATCTTTACAAAACAATAAAATCTGCCATGGAAAGATAATCACATTCCACCCACTCCTGGCATGGTAAATCCTTTCATCTTACCCAGAAGAAGTTACAAGAGCAAAGCAATCTACTAAAAATCTACTATCACGTTTAAGATACAAACATATTAAAAATGTGGCCAAATTTCCCAACACTAAGTACAAGAAGAACCTGTCATTTTCATGTGTTTGTCTCCATCCCTATAACAAATAGTGAAATTAGAACTTGTAGGAGATTTTGGAGAACATCTAGGGAAAGAGAGATAAGACCTTAACTATATCCATTTAAAACAGAAGAAAAGTTCATGTGTTTATTTGCACTACTAAAAATGTACAATAGTTCCATCTTACTTATTGAAGGCATAGTGGCCCAGAAGTGAGAAAGGCATTAGCATACTTTTTTAGAAGCACTAAAAGAGGTAAGAAGTCAAAATTGTAAGAGTGTAGTGCATTTATTACCACAATTTAATTTCTATAGGAAAAAAAAAAAAAAAAAAAAAAAAAACAAACTGATAATTCCTTAATCCAATTCCATAAAATGATTCATATTTTTTTTAAAAAAGCCCACATTTCAAGGGTTTTAATTTTGTACCATTTAACAGAACCATCTCAGAGGGTGATGGGTGATTTCAAATTTCAACCCAAAATTAAACATTTTCAGAATGTTTAATCCAACCTTGCCCCAGCAACTGATATCCAAAACCTTATCTTATTCACTGCTCATTAGAAAAATTGTTACTTACTCCACAGGAATGCTGACTGTCCCTGCTGTGGATGTTCACTGCCACATTTTATTATCAAATGCTTTCAACTCCACAAGTTTCCCTGCCAACAGCACAGAAGTAGTCAAATGCTGCCAGCAGCTCTTCACCAGGTAATGAGTGTCCCCCACAAGCATGGCAGGCAGTGCTGCAGGTGGTTGTCAGCAGCAGTACCACTGCCCCCTGCCAATACCCCCTTCCATTCCCATCTCCCAGCCACAAGCCCTGTGGGGCTGGGAAAAAGGGGGGCAGAGGAGTTGAGACCCCTCTGTCCCACTGCCAAGGGGAGGTAATGAGGAACTCTTTACCCTTTTTCAGCCTAATTCTAAAAGCCTATTTTTTTTTTTAAATCTCTAGCAGGTATTTTCTGTGACCTTACACCTTTTAAATAAAGAAATATTTTAATGCTGTTAGAAAAGTTTTCATTTTCCTTGGCATTTCTCTCTGTTACATGGAAAATGCAAACAGAACCAACTGAGAACTCAAAATATCTTTCTCCAAATCTGCTAAATCCAGCTAAAGCTAGTAACAATGGTGACAGTTTATGCAGAAAACTTCATACACATTTGAAGTAGGAAAATATTCAAATTATATTTGATAATTGTCTATCCAGATATATGGAGAAGAAAGAAATAGAGTGTTAAATAAGGAATACATTCAGACATACTTTACACTGTCTGACGAAGAAGCAAATGTCTGTGTGTTTAGTTTATGGCAAGAACCTTTTAAATTTCTGGTAATATGTGTTTGTTTGTTTGTTTTCCACAAATAACTGCTTTAGAAAAAATATATTTGATCTCTTTTCCATTCTACTGAAAATCAAAGTATTTCATCCTTCATTTCACATTTTTTGAGCAAAGACAATGCACTAAGATTTAACATTTATCTATGATAAAAATGCATAATGTAAACATGATAGTGATGTTGATGCAATCTAGCCTACAAGAATTCTCTAAACAAAATCCTCCAATGGGGTAATTTCACTAGATCTTCCTCACTACCCACAGTGGCAACTTTAAATTCCTTATGATGTTAAATACAATAGGAATCAAAATTACAATTCTAACTGCAGGTGGTATTTTTCCTGTATTATTTTTTTGAAACATGTTTCTTCCTTCACATAAAATGTAGCTTTGAATATAGGTATATACAATATTAAGGTGCATTTATTTCTGTGGAAACATTTTAGATTTCAAATATTCATAAAAAGTCAATTAACAAAAATTGTTCATATTGGTATCAATATTACCACCTTATGTCTGAACATCAGTGCATGCCTGTCATAGCAAGGAAATGTATATTCTTGCAACTTGATGTTTCAAATGAGTTTAACTTAACATATACTACAGTGACACAAACTTTTCTGCAGAGTGAACATGCATGATACTGGGTACATACCTTCATTCAGGTTTTTTTCCAATCATCCAGACTCTTTCTCATCACACACATTTTAACATTTCCAGGGTACAATGAAGATTATAGCTTGCTCTGTTTTCACCAGAATCAATGTCGAGCAAATGCTTTGAAAATACAAAAATCTTGAATAGTGAAATGGAGCCCTCAATCATTTCAGTTATCTAGGAAGATACACCTGAGGCACAAGGACTTCACACAGAAAACCAAATATCAGTCCAGTAAAATCAGAGAACACTTGGTGATGCCACTTGGCTGGCGTTCATAAAGGTGTCTCTAAGTTTCACTTCTCGTGTTAGTTTTAATGCATTTACAGTTGCTTTGGAAAAAATGTTATATTCTTATGTATATACCCACAGACAAAAAAGAAAAGGAGTAAATCTGTTTTCTGCTTTTCCCTTTCTTTCCAGTGCAAACAATACTCAAGAGAGCTTCCTTGGAGGAACCTACAGCTTGAGTTCCTGGAAAGGATGTTGCGAAATACTGAATCAACCTGCTTTTAATTGCACTTGGATTAAACCTTGACTTGGGATGGGATAAATCATAATAAACATAAAATATAACAACTTTGTTTCTTGACAGAAAGACAATTAAAAACTTCTTTTTCCACAACAAGTACAAAGAAAAGCAACTGACCTTTGTTTCTTGTCTCTTGCAATTCCCATGACGTGTATGGAATTACTTCAAACTGAAACTGGGATAAAAGCAAGAGACCTCTTGCTGCAGATCTCTTCTCCTGTTAGAGATCAGAAAAGACGGAGAAAATTTCTGAGCCTGCATCTTCTGCTTTCATTTTCACCTTGAAACAGATGAATCCGTAGGATAAAACCACTCTAGGCAAGAAGGAAATCAGACTCAGGATTTGACTTCCAATTACAGAAAGTTATGAAGTGGAAATAATATTTAGAATTGTCATCCTACTAGAATTTCTGCTGTTTTTGATACCTAAGAAACGATTTTACAGCACGAAGATAAATGACTGTTCTCAGAAATCTCTGTATATTTCTTCTGGTAACTATGGCTACATGTGAACTGAGCCGCTAACATGCAGTGAACCTCACCACCTTGGTCACCAAAGCACACAGATCAGGGATTGAAGCCTCCATGTGCTCTAGTCCCCTTCTTTCCACACTCAGGCAGAGAGAAGAACTAATGCATACCCAGAGGGTAGGAGGTGTCCACTCCGTACCTGGATTCAGGGTGTTGGTCCCTCTTGAGAGGTAACTCGTCAGAATCAAAACGTCCAAATTCCAAGGAAAGTTTCCCATGTCAACTCGTCTCAGTCTTTGTTGCTAACAATTCTGAAGGTTGATCCTAGAGCCACTGCAGTATTCCTACTGGGAACAACAGAGCTGTGCTGCTAACTGAACATGCCTAAAATCTGGTCAGAATCTGACCCTGTGAAAGCAACATTTGTGGATCATGAATACCAGACCATGAATAGGAGGATGTGCTATCAAACAAAATAAGTCTGTTGAGCAGTGTCTTATTTTTTGTCATCCAGTTACATTATCTACAACAGGGTGGATGATACAGGTTTGTTTCCAAATCTCAGTAAGATAGGTCCTGCAACAAATTGCATGATAGAACAGCTGTTTTAATAATATAGGGAAACAAACAAACAGGTAGAGTAAATCATACACTGAGAACCCTGGTTTCATACAGCACTGGATGGACCCAGATGAGTTTTCCCATAGCAGGCTGCATGGAGAGATTCACCTGGGGTCTTTATGTAAGATTTACTCATTATGTTCTTTATTACTATTATAATTATTATGATAGAACATAAGATTTACTTGGTATACCCCTTGGTTTTTTGTTGTTCTGTCTTCAAACAGCTGAACTACCCTCTTCGCTTCTCTCCATGCAGAACACTGTGTTTTTGTGTGCAAATATCATAAAATAAAATAAAAAATAGCTAGATGTAGGTAAAAAAAAAAAAAAAGGTTTTGAATTTTCATAATAAATTAATCTGTTTTAGGGATCCATCTGATGAATGAAGTGTTAATTGGTCCCACATGAAGAAATTCTATTAAGAAGGAAAGTCTGTTAATTTTTTAAGCTCTAATCCTTTCATGGACTTCAAATCTGAAAAGTTTTATGTAGATTGTTTTGCAAAATATTGTGATATGTATTGCTATCCCATAACATTGTTAGTGACAAAGGCTTGAAAAAAAAAAAGCTAAGAACTGAAGTACAGGAATGTCAGAAAGTCCTGACATAGACTCCAGAGTAAAACTGGTATAGATTAAGACAAACCAATCTATTCTGATAAAACAATAACTACTTTCTCATCCTTCCATTAATTATTGCAGAGTCTGTTCTGGGAAAACCAGACTAATAAACTTAGACAACTGCCAATATAGATATTTTCAGTGGGCATTTGTTTGGATTTATCATTAAAGATGTTTGTTTCCTGTAAAATGTGTTTTATTAATTTAATGATCCAAAAATTATAAATGTGAATGTTACTACTACTTCTAAATTTTAATACAGGTTTCATATTGTTAGATGTTTTTCTTTGGCTTCGTTAGGAGACTGCACAACAACTTCATTTTTCAATGCTTTTATAGAAAATTTCCAGTCCTGATTATTGTAGATTATGCTCAAATATTTGATAAAAGCTTGTTGTAAAGAAACCACATTGGTCCTCTTTTAGTGAGCATCATTAATATAGCAGGGCACAGCTTTCAAATCAGTTTAGAGCTATCTGATATGAAATACAGAAATACATTCTTTCAAGAGAAATCAATCAGAAATATTAACTCTCACTGTTGGGCAGAATTCCCCCCTATTTATGAGACATCACTGGCAGTCTCCCTCCTTGCTTCTCCCCAGCATGCTCTGTTTCATATTAGCCTTTTGAAATAGCTGCTCTTCCTATTCTTGGAACTGTAAGCTGTTTAAAAGGGGTTCTCTCAGGAGTAAAGGTGACCATGCATGAAATTTTTAAAAAGCCTCTCATGGCTTGGGGCACCAGCCTTCCTACTACAGGACAGATGTGGTGTGTTTCTGTTCTTTTTTATGACTCGTCTGTAGTAGCATTACATGGGAGGTAATTTCAGCAGTAGATATGTTACATTGCTCTACCTACATCTGGTCAAACAGATTGCCTACTTGTTTTGATGATGGCTTAGTCAGAAGAAGATACAGATGGCATGTTGCATCCTAAATGCAGCAAAGGAAGCAGAGAGAGCAGAGCAGGACTCCTAAGCACCACCAGGCTTTCAGGTGGCTATTTTCCCTCTATCCTTGTGATGGTGTAGGAATTCAGCCTCTCTCATCACAAAAAGAGAGCTATACATTTCACTGGTTCTGGGTTAACCTGACACCTTGGACCCTGGGCTATGAGTGCCCAGGAATATATTTCCAACGACAAAATTTGCTAGCACTGTATGCTTGAATAGATACAAAGACCTTCATGAACTTTCAGGAAACATTAGATTAAGCAATGCACAGAGCCTATGTAGTGGCATGCCTGTTTCAAAAGTCTTGCAGAAAAAGGAGAGCTTAACCTGCTTTGCAGTTACTCACAAGGCAGCGTACAATTCCCTGTAGCTAATGCAGATGACAAGCCAAAGTAGCAGAGGTGACGTGACTCAATCTGTCTTTCTCAGAAGCTCCCCACTGGATGTCACTGTGTATCCAAAAGCCTTTGTACAGAACTTTGTACTGAAGTGTTCATAGGGTGTTAGCTAGTCACTAAAAATTACAGGTAATAATTCCAGGAAATGTTTTATGCAGTTCAGTGTGCAGTAATTCTGGGAAACACCATGTAGCCATTAAAATGCTTAGAGCATGTACAATCAAAGAAAGCTTGTTTATTAAAAGACAAGTTTTCCCTGGCCTTAAACTAGGAAAGCATTGAAATATGTAAATGGAGCAAGGCCGCTGTGGAACAGGAGTATTTCTATCTTCATTGTTTGAAAGGCTGTTGGAAAAAACAAGAACAGTTTTAGAAACAAAAGCTTTTTCAAACTCTAACGTCACAACAGCACTTGCAACCTACATGCGTTTGTGAACATGTGAATAATTGTGTCAAAGAGGCAAATCACAGGGCAGCAAACAATGGAAACTAGCAAGTGTTCTCCAGAGGAGGTCCAGCATTATCACCACCTCTTTCTGAGAAAAGGTAGGAGTGGAGAAAGAGAAGTTTCCTAAAGAGGCAGAATATTAATTCTAGTTCTTTTTTTTCAGCAGAATGAGTGCACCCTCAGCAAGTTTGTGGATGACACCGCTAATAGTCTAGCTAGATAGACCAGAGTATCTAGCTGACAGTCTAGAAGGAAAGTACAGACTGGGTGATAGATGGATTGAGTGCAACCCTGCAGAGAAGGATTTGGAAGTGCTGGTGGTTGAAAAACTCTGCTTCAGCTGACAGTGAATGAATGCAGCCCAAAAAGCCAGCTGTATCCTGGGCTGCATCAAAAGACGTGCAGTTAGCAGGCTGAGGGAGGTGATTGTCCTCATCTCTTCCATTCTCATGAAGGAGACCAGCCGTGGAGTGCTGCGTTCAGTGCTGGGGCCCCAGCATAAGAAAGACATGGACCTGCTGGAATGAGTTCGTCGTAGGTCCAGGAAGGTGATCAGAGGGCTGGAGCTGTTCTCCTATGAAGATAGGCTGAGGGAGTTGGGGTTGTTCAGCCTGAAGAAGAGAAGGCTCTGGCAGCCTTCCAGTACCTAAAGGTCTTAAAGCAGCCTTCCAGTACCTAAAGGGGACCTACAGGAAAGCTGGGGAGGGACTCCTCATCAGGATGTGTATTGACAGGATAAGAGGTAATGGTTTTAATATAAAAGAGGATAGATTCAGATTAGATGTGATCTATGAGGGTGACGAAGCACTGGCACAGGCTGCCCAGAGAGGTTTTTGGTGCTCCATCCCTGGGAGTGTTCAAGGCCAGGCTGGATGGGGCTCTGGGCAGCCTGGTCTGGTGGGAGGTGTCCCTGCCCATGGCAGGGGGTTGGAACTGGGTGATCTTTAAGGTCGCTTCCAACCCAAACCACTCTGTGATTCTATGAAAGAGAATTTGCTATACAGATTAGACTGGTTCCCACTAAGTAGAGGTATAAATCCATGGTTCCCACATTTTGGGAATGAATCACCTCCAAATCTGGCACAGACACAGGTAACTTTAAAACCAAATAAGCAAGATGTACTGTTTAGCACGTGCATGTAGCCAGTGGCAACTCTGAACCTTAGCCCCATAAGCAATGTTAGAAGACAAACCCATGTCCAAGGCAAGAGGAGCTCCCTACTCTGGCACGGGCAGCACAGAGCCCTCCCTACCTGGCAGCTGGTGGCACAGGTGGGTGTGCTTAGGAGAAGCTGGAGTGAGGCCCCAGCCTCACAGAGGGTTTGGGAGAACTGTTAATCCATGTAGCACTGCTCCTGCTTTGCAAGCAGATGCACGGAATAAATAAGCCTGCTAGCATTCTCAGCTGTTACCCGATATCAAACATAAAAACAAATGGCAGACTACAAATCTTTAACATTTGAGATGCTGACTCAAATTCTTCTCTCATTTATATCAGTCTAAGCTTGGGGGATCTTCTCTGAAATTTGCTATACATTTATACCAATGTAAACAAGGCAATAATTTGCTTCCTGGGATTTGATTCTGATTTCAAGCTAGTTTCAAAGTTGTATCCGTTCGCAGGCTGATGGAAGCACTTCAATTCTGACAGCATTGTGATAGTGATCAGTGCATCTGTACCCATGTTTCTGTTTGCTTCATGGAGCTCTGATTCTGAAACCTGAGAAAATTCAGGAAAACAAACTGGGGAAAACCTTCTTACTCTTTAGTTCAAAACTACTTCATGATCAACTTACAGAAAAAAAAAAAAATCAAAACATTTTCTCGTTGCTATGGCATAAGGATTCACTATAGCAACCAGTGTACTAGCTCAAAAGGCATTGATCAGAACGGATGGGTTGCCATAGTGAAAACAGATATTTTCTTTTTGTTATATTCATTACTGCCTTTGGTTTCAGGTGGCTAGAAATGTCAGGGAGGGTTGAGAACCCTTCACGAGATTGCTGTATGTTCCCTGGTGGCAAGTGAGGGCTGGAGTTCAGGACCAGGTTGGTCCAGGCGAAATGAGAAAATCTTGTGCATTTACTTGCATAAACTTGCCTCTTGCCAGGGTTAACTCTATTTAAGAAATATTATACCTGTGTCCTGTTGCTTGTTTTCTAAATCCTAGGAAAGTGTTCCTACCTCAGCAGCGTAACAACATCTGGAGTCTCCCTGATAGGGAGAACAGACCTGTGCTTAGGGGAATAAATGTGGATTTGTGTCCAGCTGCCAGTTCTGCCACAAGCCCCACGTGTCTTAGGGAAAGTTTCCCAACTCTGTGATGTCTCTGCTCCTGATCTGCAAAATGAAACAGCAGCCTCGGGCTGTTCTTAGCAAACACTACAGGACAAATGGTCAGATAGCAGAAAAGGGAGAGCAGAACCTTTGCAGCTGTGGGACAACACACCCAGGATCTCTCTACAGTGTTTCTGTACTGGAAACTATACACTACTTGACTGGTTTCTGTTAGAGGTTCTTACATATGGATCGAAGCAATTACAACTCTAACAATCTTATGTTTTTCCTAAACAGAACTGCTCCAGTTAAAGTAAATGAGGAAGACTGTGGATAAGTCCGCACTAATGTCATTTTCCCCTTCTAAAGAAATGTTAAAGCTCATATAGCAGGAACGCAAACAAATTGGTGCCCATACCAACTGACTGTTCTTACATCTCACTGTGCTAGCTAACATCCCTAGCTGCTTTATTATATCTATAATCCCCATTATTCCAAGTATCTGTAAGTGCTGACCTGAATTTTCCTAAAAAACTCCCACTGGACAGTAATTCATTCTAATTGGCTATTTTACACTAATTATTATACATGAAAAACTCAAAAGCCTCTTTTTATCTTGAGTGATTTATATGTTTCATGTACTTCCCCATAAATTAAGAAGAATTTGTCAATGCAGTTAAACACTATTCTTGTGAACAACTCAAGCTGAGGTCAGATGAGGTACTCTCTGTACTATATATGTACCTCATGTAACTCACTGCATATCTGGCCTAACCTGAAATCACCTAGGAAAACTTGCAGAACTGCCTGAGAGCAAAACCAGCACTATCAGCTTTCTCCTTGTGCTAACTTAGCTACGAAGATAAAACCATGGCAGAGCCCAGACTGAGATTTCAGGTCAAACTGCTTACATGCTCATCCAGCTCTTTTGTATTCCCAAGCCTCTTGCTTCTTTCCTTTCATTCTTTCTTCTCTGACTTCTCCATGGCTTTACAATAATGCCTTTCACTTAGTGCTTTGTGCACCTGCTGGTTTTACTCCTGGTCACCTTTATTTTTATTTCCACCACCACAGAGGACACTTGAATTTTTCACTTCTCATATCACTAGGTGGCAGAAAGCAATCAGTGAAAGCCCTTCACAAAAACAAAACAAAACAAAACAAAACCACCCACCATGTGAGAGTACAAGTATCTAGCATTTTCATTTGGACATACAGGGTGCAATTGTTGGTTCTTGCTCAAAACAGCAGAATAAATATTTTTATTAGCTGAACTTCATTTTGGGTAATATAAAAATATGGTGCATTTTGGCTGAGGTAGTTTGTTT